CAAATTTTGTCCTTGCAACCGAATGACAGCATACAGCCGTTTCCTGTCCTCATTCCATCCACTTCCACACCTTTTCTTCCTGCTGCTGATTGAGAGCGATCGAATTTGGCCAGCAGATGCCAAACACACTCAGTGTCTTACTTCGGGGGCTTGTAGCAGAGAAATGAAACACACCAATCGCATAGAAGCTGAAGAAAAGGCAAGAAAGGCACCCGATTTCGATGATGGTATAAAAATTGGTCAGTTAAGATGAAATATCAGGATGCCACTGTGAATTGTTTATGCCAGTCGCACTGAGTTCTGAGAAGTGATTTGGGTTTTGATGAATCAATGCACGCGAAGGAAAAATGAAGCAAACTGCATTTAAAGAATATTATTATTCCACATGGGGCAACCAATATTTGATATACATTTAATAAAATCAGTACCCGCTTAAGAAACAAATACAAGTTTAAAGCGAAGGTTATGGCCCTTCTATTTCAATAAAGCCAAATGATCAATGCCGATTGCTGAGTCAATGTGTTTAACCACCTGGTCCAATATCTCATAAACGTTCCTATTTTATTACATTTCATACACAGCTATCAAGAGATGTGCATCAGCATTGTTTACACATATGCTCATGCTTGGAGGGGACAATTAGTTCGACCACAAAAATGTCAATCGCCCTCATAATGAGGCGCAGTACGATGTTCATGTCATTAGATCACACTTTGTTATAACGATTTACTAATGTGCATCCACTCTGAAGGGTGCATATATGAACGTATATGCTTATAGGCTTGACTTGAGGAAATTGGAGACAGTAGCTTTAAATGATGGAAACGATGGAATTCATCATGAATATAATTAACAGTGTCATCGTGTGCGTGCGCGTGCGTGCGTGCATTTGTCGCGGGTGTGCTTGAGCGCTGAAAGCGGAGCTCTCCATGGTTCCTCATTTTCAATGCCGACGCTGCAACAGATCTCAAGAGGTAAATAAATACATACATACACACATACAAAAAAATTATTTCTAAACAAAACCTAATCGAAATTAGCCTTGAATTATTCAAGTATATCCCACTCAAATTACAGTTTAAAATTCAGCATTAAATAAAATTACATTTTTTTAAATTAAAATGGCCAAAAAGCACGCATGTTTTTTTCCTTGATAACAGCATTGCTGTTACAATAAAATTACAATCCATTGTGCCATTTTTTTCAATAATAAATTATATAGTAAACATACACGTTACTACTACGAAATAATATATTTAGAATTAGCATTTAAGAATAAAAAATGTTTGCTGTCAAAAAATTAAAATCATAGAATTTGATATGGTGGAGGGGTTGAGGGTGCAATATGCAGGTTGATGTCACTATTTCTCGCTCGGGCTTTTTCCTCGCAAATTGCGCTCAACCCGTGCAGTGGCCATGAGGGGGAAAAAAAACAACAACTATGAAATTCATCAGATAAAAGCCATAAAACATCGGGTCCTTTTCAAGTCTATAGGCCATTGGGTTGCATGTTAGAAACATGCTCTTTGCCATTAGGTGTTTAGCGCAGACTGTTGCTTTGCAGAAACACGCCGCACATTCAACTGGGTCACTAACCTTCATCCTGCGGCAAAAATGCAGTTTTTACCCCGAGAAGAGGGAAGGAACGGCGTGTATTCATCGAGGAGGGCAAAAGTTGCGACTCTCTTAGAAACTGGTGATCTTCAGTCACTTTGTGCATATGCTTTGGTGGCTAAATCCCAATTAGAGTCGGCTGACACGCTGCTCTATTCATGCGCGGCCCTGCCTGCATACATTTGCTGCGGAATGAACGGCTTAAATGGATGTGGCGCTAAATGCGTCGGACACCAGAGAGAATCGGCCTGAGTGACACTTTCTTTCTGAGGCGCTCGAGTGAGAAAAGGTATGAATTTATAAGGTACACCGAAACACATCAATTCACAAGACTTCACAGGCCTTTGTCCGAATCTCCTCATGCGAAACAAAGTGAGTTTGAACCAGGCGAATGGGACTGAAAAAGTCCCGGCGCAAAAACTTTCCAAAGACTTTGGGTTGCCAAAACTTTGGGATAAAATCCCACACGAACCGCTTTGTGTACGTAGTTTATTTGCACGCCCGTCCCCAATACGAGTTGTAATATTAGTCTGGGTTTTAATCCAATCATGTCACCTGGTGGGAGTCCCATACAAGGTCAATTACGATTCACGGGGGTCGCTAATGCCCCACCCGCATTAAGGAGCTGGTCGGTCGTTGATGCAGGCAGCTTGCATCTTTCCCTCGTACTCATAACAAGGAAACACAACCGGTGTGGCAAGGGTGCGCGCGTCGAAGAAAACACGCATTTACTCGACGTTGTTGTTTTCTTTGTCTCCGTGCAGGGTCAAACCAGAAAAATGATGCAGTCAATGTAGCGTAGTGAATTTCTGTCTATAGTGAAAGAGGTGTGACTGATATATGCGTAGATGTCCACTTCCATGAAGAGAAATAATTAATTTCTTTCATTTTTTTTTTTTTTTTTTTTACAAAGCCACTTCTAAAACGTGGGAATCTTTCAGAAATAGGCCACACCGCAAAGTGGGACAATGATTGGGCTCCGTTGAATAGGGCCAAACAAAGTTTTATGGGTCGACATAAAAAATGTGTTTTCTTGTGAGCTCACAGGGGTCTTAAATAGTGGGCCATTGAAACCAGTCGAGGAGAGGTGGTGGTGAACCCTTGGCACCGCTCAAGTATAGTCAGTGAGTTTGAATGGAGATCCCTGGTGGGGCATTGCTCTCTATATTTACGCCTTGCTTCACAGACAGGTTGTTCCTCTATATTCATGGCTCATCAATGGCCAACCAGTTAAATCAGGGCCCCGCCGCTTATCGTAAAACATCCAAAAAGGACGGGCAAGAGCCAATCTTAAACGCCCATAAAACCTTCCTCTCCCCTTCAAATAATCCACTTCTTCCCAGGTCGTAATTAAATAGCCTTAGAGAGTTGCCGCACTCTGGATTGATTCCACAATATTGTCATAGAAGAAAGATCCAACCATGTAATTAATGTTTCTTTTTCTCGCGAAAAAAAAGAAGACACAATACTACTGGTCAAACCATTTGAATTCATTTAATTTTCCATCCCATTAGCTTCCAAGCCTGCTTTCACGCTCGACACAGTCAGCCTTTGACTTCTCTTGTTGGCTTCTATGCGCACACCGGAGTGACTTTGGTCAGAAAAAAAGTCCTTCCTTGAACAATACAAGACTTGATTTTATAGTGGAGAGGTGGGGTGCTTTATAACAGCACACGACGCGGATGGGAACTAGTTGGAGAAAAAGGAGATGCGTTAATAAATAACCCCCCTACACAGCCAGGCACGAACATTGCGTCTATTGATGAAATTGTTCGCGTGTCTTTGAGTGGAGGCGCGCACAGGAGGAAGGTGCAACACAGGAGGAGGGCTGCACTTTCACCCACGTTTATTTAATTCACTATCATCTCCAAAGTGGCAAAAAAACAAACAAACAAACAAACAATGCATATCATTTTAGTTGAACACGTTCGATTAAAACATTACTGAGAATGAATGTTAAACTACGCTTAACTATGAATACCCCCCCTACGCCCCCCCCCACCCGCTATGGCCTTGCGCCAAAATTGCTTGTTATGTCCAAGTGGACAGGTCAAATGTCAACATGTTCATGGCCTGAATGGCTCGCCCACTGGTCCTTGTTCTCTTCATTTGTTTGAACTCATCACTGCATTATCGAAGGACCTATATGTCAGTTAAAAATACTTCAGAACCACATGCTGGCACCTCCTTTTTCCACGCACCTCCCTTTTTTTTTTTTTTTAAACCACTGATGGGCACGAATGTAATCTATGGAATAAATGTTATTGTCGAGGAAACAAACGGTGGCCTATACGTTCTTTAATTCAGAAAATATATTTCCGCATGTACAATTTATGTATGCACGAAACGAAACAAATAATGCACCGTGTGTTTTGAGTTTCATTTTATTTGCGACTTCTCTGTGGTTAAAGCACTAACAGATATTTAACATTAAAATTATTTTTACCGGATTACTGTTGCCCAAAAACGCATTCCATATGCATTAGAAAGTGACAAGCAAATGCATCATTGCTGTGAGTGACAGAGCTAATAAAAAAGACACATTCTGTATCAAAATAGATTGGGACACAAATGGAAAATACGAGTAGGCTATTTCTCTAAGTGAGAATGATGACGATGCTGGCGATTAGTTTGACGTTTTTCCCCACTTCTCCTCCTGCTGCTGGTTCTTCCTTTTCAGTACCTGTCTGAGCTCAAGCCGGCACACGCCGAGAGTCAATAGAAGCTAACAAGTCCTCTAAACTTTCCTGATCCTTTTGTCTAAATAAGGACACAAAAGGAGGGGGAGAATACTTGCTTTGAAGTGTATAAAAAGCCTAAAGAATGCCGGCAGAGTAGATTTAAAGTAGCCATTGATTCCTTAAACTTGGGTTGAATGGAAAGAATGGAACGGGATGAGGATTTATGGTTAAATTATACAGTGGATTTGTCAGTTAAAATATCGGAACTGTCTGGAGGACAAAGCCACATGCTGAGGATTAATGGTTGCTTTGGACCTTTGATGATGCACCCTCTTTTCTCTGCCCTTGACAAATTGGATTTTGGGGATGGGAAGGTCGCCTGGCCCTTTGTGTCTCTTGACCAGTTTGGAGCAATTCATTATGTGGCGGGGTGAGGGAAAGTCTCCATGTGACCATGCAGGCCCTTGCGTTGCACTGTCCTCACAGCTGTTGGATTTGCCCAGCTCTCTCACACTTACACGCACGCGCGCACTGCCCCGCAAACTCAGGACCACTCTCCTCCCATCTGAGCCACACTCGCATCCCGGGCGGGTGGGGGGGGGGGGTCGATAGTGATAGGTGGAGGGGGTTACCTTGCCTGCACCCATCACTAGAAAAGCGGGGTGCTTAACGCCACCGCGTCACTTTGAGGGCGGATATTGGCCGGTCCTCCTCCTCTCCTCTTCCTCCTGGAACCGTCTTCCCCGCACTCTCTCACTCGGCTTCCATCAGTCTTCATGGTTCTGATCTCACCCCACGCAATGCAAGCCACCCGGGCGTCCGCCACTGTCAGTGTGGTTTCAGACTGTGGAATCCCTGCCGGGCTCAGGATAGGTCCGGTTCCTGGCGTCTTTAAATTGGGGAAGTACCTGTCAGACCGCAAAGAAGTTGGGCCCAAGAAAAAGGTAACTTCTAAATAGTGGGAACCTATTAGCCTTTATTTTTGTTATATAGATATTTTTTTTCATTATCATATTTGCAACAAAAAAATGATGCAAGAGCTGCTTCGACTCGCTCATGTAGTGAGGCGTTTTTAATATGCATATACTACATGCACCTCGGAATTCCCCCAGAAAGAGAACACAATAACTTTTACAAATTGTTTGCCACGTCATTTTTTAAAAATGTCTTGTTCTGTCATGCATACGACAAATATCTGCATTACCTCTTTGATAACTAAAATGAGAACAATTGGATTTGGGATTTTTTTTAAGCAACACTGTCATGCTCCATCTCCTTTATTAATCGGTTTGGTCTGTCAGGATGGAAATAATTGAGCCCATAAGTGGCCAACTTGTCAGTCTGGGCGTCTACTTAACCGTTCTAATGGGCGAGTCGGCCTGCTGAGCGCGGCTTTCATGCCCTCAGCAGCCTCACGTTTATCCCTCCCTGGCGGGCCTGTTATCTTGATAAGTTGTTTAATTTTAATGGGTCCGGACACCGACATTTTTCACCAAGACTTGGGGTGATGAAAAAAATAAATTCATTATTATAAGGTAAACAAATGCATTTATATTTTGATTGGAGAAAGATTCCGTTGCAAAGCAGCCTCGGTCGTTTTATTTCTTTTTTATTTCCAAGATCGCTTAAAAAAAGCAGCTAATTGTCACAGTTTTATTCATAGAAAAACCATAGTTAACACTTTGCCCCCATAAATGCATCTATCCTCACCCAGTTATTGTTGATGCTGTCAGTGGTGGTGATTGATGCATCTAACTGCGTGGCCCCGGGCTTAGGGCGTTCATCAGGTGAAATCTCTGTGTCAAATGTCACGCTTGAATCTTTAATGTCCTTGAATAGTTTAAAAACGCTCTGACACTCCTCAAATTCGTTTCCCATATCAACTCAATTAGGCCTGTATGTCATTCACTTCAGTAAATTATCAGCAGAGCGGATAAAGACGCATTAAGCGTGTTTTGGTCATGCGTGAGCGCAGCACCTATTGGTGCCATATACCACATGCTTATAATTTATGATAGTGAGTGGAATCTAAACATATATTTATATAAAAGTAGGCCTATACAAAAACGAGCACGCAATAAATATAATTCGTTACTGCATTTCACATATCTGTTCAATATACTTGTTATTATCAGATTCGCTTGGTGCGGGAAGAGTGTGTGGATGAGTCCGGCTGTCCCGTGTCAGACTGGATCGGATGCATCCGAGCCGCCAGAAACAGTCAAGAACAAAATCTAGAGGCTGTGTCTGACCTACCTGGCGGACAGGTAAATTTTCCTTCTGCACATGTTTTCTTGATCATTAATCACTGCCATTAATTTGGGCTTTTCGTTTAAGTTTATCCAAGATTAATTTCCTTTTTTAATTATTTATTAGATATTTTACCGCGTGATGAGAGAAATTCCTGCGGGAGAAGAGCTCAGTGTTTGGTACTCTAACGCTTTGGCCCAGTGGTATGACGTGCCCACGACGGCCACCCCCACTCACGACGAGAAAGGTAAGCAAAACTCCTGCTGAATTTCTTCCTAAATTTGCATTACAGAAGACAACTCACAATTTAGGGAAGGAAATCATTATCACAGTTTAGGATATCTACTCCAAGCAAGTGAAAGGTCAGTTATTATAAAAAAAACATCGACATTTGATGGCCCATCACTGCACTGTTAAAACTATTTCGTTTAAAATCCATGACATTAGCGTGTATTAGATTTATTCGACATTTAGTACATTTATGTACACAACCATCAATAGTAAAAAAATAAGATAACGTTTAAAACAGAATGCTGTTACCGCCCTCTTGTAAAATGTAATAATTTAAAAAACAAAATAGGACTATAGGCTATTTAAACGTTTCGAATTAATTAATTCCGATTTAATACTAAAAATTACTACTAAAACACGTCCTTCTACTTCTCACTCATTGTGACGATGGTTTTTGTATTAAAGCATTGTTCTAAATCCCTGTTACCTCAGCAAAACACCAGCTCATTAGTAGTTAATTCGTTTAAAAATCAAGCAAAAGATTATCAAGAATACATAGTTTGTAAATAAATGTCTGTAACAGACAATGGATTATTATTTTATGTTTTTTATAGCACAGTACTAAAAAAAATCTGACGAACACACTGCTACGATTAAAAGATCACGCTAATTATCGTCTTTAAAATTATGAAATAAAAAAAACACAATTACAAAACAAATTGGCGTGTCTCTGATGCAAAAGAGGCTTCTGATTCAGTTGGGTGGTTAACGAATGTCACGGTGCCATTAATATTCATTTATTCAAAAGCAAATAAATTCAAAAAACAAGTGCTTCACGGTAAATTAGGTGGGTGCGTGAAGGTATTGTGACCTAATGAATGCTAACTTTTATGTGGGGTGTATATTGCCCCGATTCCCGGGCCCAGCACACCGCGTGTATTCGCTCGTGGACATACGCCGGCTCCCATTATTAGGCGTCAACAGATGGGCCAGCGTCATTGTTTCTACAGACTTGCGATTTCAAGCCACAGCTGCTGTCACTTCCACGGGAAAGAGCCCAGAGAGGAAAAGGAGAACCTTCAATGCATCGCCAGATTGGGCTGGGCGTTTGCTCTTTTGATGGGGTCCATTAACAATGGCCCGGGTGAGGATTACAAAATCATTACATCTATATCAACCTCTGAATACTCGCCTGGGAGTCATTAAAAAGATGACTCGCCCTGGCTGTCAACCGTTCCATCTCCCGGAACAGGGTCCGATTGACTAGAGGCCTGATTTGTTAAAAAAAATCTCCTTACATAATAATTATGATATACTAACCACTATTTTTCGCGTCCCGTATAAATGTTCGTTCTGGCACGAGGTGGAGATTAATTTGGGAGTGACATTCTTACAGATAATATCGATCCATTAAAGATGGCACTGTCAGACTGTTATTCAATCGTTATCATGTTTCTGAATATAGGTTTTAGTATTGTTGACGTTTTTTGGAGTATATTCAGAGTTGTTTCTTATATTTTGAACCAATAGCTAAATAATGTAACCAAAAATCCCGAATCACCTCTGCAAGGCAACGATGAATGAACAGCAACCACAATAATAAAAATTAAGAGCATGGAGCTTTTTCATTTTATATTCTTCCTCTTCTTGTTCTTCTTATTATTATTATTGTAATTTAGATGTCGAGTTGAATTTGTAAATACTGTATTATCGCAAAATATTGTCAATTCATAATTCATGAATAATTGTTTTTATTTGAAGCACGTTTATTTGGATTCAATGTCAGTGTCAATAATGCGCATTCAGCACAGGTTCTCAGACTAATAAATATTTCGCAAGGGTCTTATATGTACAAGAATGTGAGTGTTTAAATGAATGACATGAGCATTGCGTCTTATTTTTTTACGATTGAATCACCATTGGCGTTTTCTTTTCTTTTTCCTTTTTTGGGGGTCTTTTGTGCAGGTGAAGAGCGTTACATCTGTTGGTACTGCTGGAGAATCTTTAAATACCCCAACACACTCAAAGCCCACGTCCACTTCCACTGCGCTCTCAGCAACGGGCGCGGGTTCGTGAACAGCGAGCAAATCAGAGGCACGGAGACCTTCAGCAGGTCACCAAAGTCTGGAGACATCCCCAACACGTCTTCCTCGCCCAGGAGTTCACAGACCATCTCCTCCATCTCCGACTCCAGCAGGAGGCCACTGACCTCACCATTTTTGGGCAAGGCCGGTCTGCTGAAGAAAAGCAGCTCCGAGGAGCAGGACAGAGCCTTGGACATGAGCGTCACCTCATCCCGGAACCAAGGACACATGCTCGGCCTCGGCGCAGCATCCTCGATGCTCACTTCCATGGGCTTTCACCCAGGTGTCCGTTCCGCATTCAAGCCAACAGGCGTCGCTAAGGTCCCGAGCGGTGACGCGCATCGAGAGGACGCCAGCTCCAAGCTGGGCGCATTGGGATTCGGCAAAGCCGTGGGGAACATGAAACCGATGCGAAACGTGGTGGGCGAGACGCTCAACGGAAGCGGGAATCCCGCGGCCAAATGCGCCCCAGGGCTGGTTGACTCTGCCAGCGTGGTGCCATGTGCCAACGCCATCAGAGGCTTCCCACTTCTCCCTCACATAGAGGAAACATCGGCTTTCAAACACGTCGAGAGTCGAGTGCACGCCGGGCTGTCGCCGTCCCGCTACCCGCACATGCACCCGGGACTCCACTTTGAAAGGTTCTCCTTGCCCAACTTTGACGGCGTCAAGACTTACGGTGGAGACTGTAATATCCCCCTGATGCCCTTCACCGTTTACAACGGAGAGCTTCTGTACAGTTCGCCCTATTACCCTCTTAAATTCCACTTCAGCAATCTCCTCAAGTACCCGGAGTCCATGCCTTACTTTGGCGCGCCCTCCCTAAGCCAAGACATGGGCACAATCACCAACATTGACCGGGAAATAGCCATGCACACGCAACAGCTCTCCGAAATCGCGAATGAGAAGAACCGGACCAGACTCGACCCCTTGCCCGCCGGAAGCACCAGCAACGCCAACTCAGGCAAACCAAAAAAGGGACACTTGTGTCTGTATTGCGGCAAACTGTACTCCAGGAAATACGGCCTGAAAATCCATATGAGGACTCACACCGGCTACAAGCCGCTGAAGTGCAAAGTGTGTTTCCGGCCCTTCGGGGACCCAAGCAACCTGAACAAGCACATTCGACTCCACGCGGAGGGCAACACCCCCTACAGGTGCGACTTCTGCGGCAAAGTTCTGGTGCGGAGGAGAGATTTGGAAAGGCACGTCAAATCTAGACATCCCGGCCAGAGCATCAAGAAGTTGGATGACAAAGCGGGCCTGTTCGAGGACGCCGAGCTGAAGAGCGACAACGACAGCGACGTGGACGTCTGCTTCACCGACGACCAAAGTGAGCCCGAATCCAGCAAGAATAACGACTGAGACACTCAAACAAACAAACAGACTAACAAACAAACGTCAATATTAATAAAACTGGCTTTGAATTGTGTACGCCCCACCCGCCCCAAAAGATTTTATTTATACCCTCCACACTGACTGAGACACTCAAACAAACAAACAGACTAACAAACGTCAATATTAATACAACTGGCTTTGAATTGTGTACGCCCCGCCCGCCCCAAAAGATTTATTTATACCCTCCACACTTTGGACCGCCCAGCCAGTTTATTACAATATATTGACCTTTTTATTGCTCTTTTCCGTAATAATATAAAGACTGTACAATAATCAAGTGCTGTTATAGTCGCTGGATGAAACTCGATCGAATTGTTGCAATGCAAAATGCCAAGGGGTTTTTTTCCTTCAGTGTTTGACGCATTCAGCCGGCTTTCTCAATTTCACAAAAAGATTTAAATGTGTCACCACTTCAGTTTGTGTTCTTTATTTCGAACTTTTTTTCCCGCATTGATAAAAACAGGTCTTTTTTTTAGGCACATCTTTTTTTCCTTCACGAAACATACTTTTATACAAAATGAACAACTGAACACGCATTCCAACATATATAACACGAAAATGCCACATTATGTTTATTTTGTTGACCAGTGACCGGTAAAATAAACATGTCGGCCTACTGTTCCCAATAGTCACAATTCCCTGACAGCGATTTTAACTGCACTTTAAGGAAACCATTTAATTGCATAAACGGCTGCCTGGTGATTATTATGACAACGAAACACGTATTTCCTGAGCTTCATTTACGACCCATCTCCCTGCGCCTCTCTAAATAAATACACTTAAATTTGCACTTTCTTGCGGAGGCACGCGGTTCTTAAAGAAGCAAACACCTGTGTTTATTTATGGAACTATTTCTGAGAGAAAAAAATGTATTGTATGTAAAAATGAGTAAAGTATGATATTTCACATTACGGTGTCGTACAAGCGTGTTTTTACGTCATATTGTCGATGAGGACAATATTTTACCCTTGTTCTAAATGTGGTTGCCTTTTTTGAAATAAATATGTTAAAAATGTATGTGTTTTTCAGTTATGCGACATCATATGAGCAATCAAGACCTTGTACATGTACATAATTACAACAATAATTCCAACATTTAAATAAATTCATCACTATAATTTGATTCTGGACTTGCCCAACGCAATTCTTCTAAATTCTAATTAGATTTTTTTTCAGATAGTTTAAACTTTCCGATGTTATGATGATGATTAATATTAATGATAATAAATAATAATACTAATAATAACTGGTATTAATTGATCAATATACTCGTACTACCACTGATACTCCTGTTGCTGCTACTGCTACTATTTGTGCTACTACTACTGATAGTTGTTACTGTATCATTCATGTGATTATTTGGTCAAATTAAGTGATTGGTTTATTCTATTTTTATGCATTTTCTTTGATGACTGAATTTGCATAAGACAACAAGGAAAAATATGCAATATGAAAGTTAAGCCACGATTTTACAATACAATACAATACAATACAATACATCCTGATTTATATAGCGCTTTCACAACAGCTGCAGCTATTACAAAGCGCTTTACAAAACAGTTAACATAAAGTAATATAAAAAACACAACACATAACATAATTTTGATGTTTACGGCTGCTTTCATTTTTCTCATATTCACTTTTTATGATTGACTTTCTTTGTCCCCCCCACACACACACACATATTCACACACACACTTTCACACACACACATACACACACACACACACACACACACACACACACACACACACACACACACACACACACACACACACACACACACAAACGAGTGCACACATAAACAAAGACAGCATCTTGTCATAGTGTTGTGCGTGGTTGCCAATGCAGGTGATGAACAGTCCTAAATGATGCAAAGGTGTGACCTTCATTTCCAAGGCAATCGACAGGTTGTCTTCGTGTTCTAGCATTACCATGGTAATAGCACTAGACAAGCAAAAGCAGCAGATGGGAGGGACACTATTTTTTAAATTTAATATTAGGCCGATGTCCAGATTCGACTGATTCGGAAATAAGGACAACAGATGGCTGAGTTATTTCATTCCATACCTTTGGGACAGTTGACCAAAATGTGATCAATTTTGACTGACGTTCACATTTCAATTGCCCATTTGTTACATGCAACAGACAATAATTATTTTAGATTTGGAATAGTATAGTATAGTATAGTCATCAGAACTCTAAACTCTTATAAAAACACAAGCGACAGATTAAGATCTTACCTTACCTCAATGTAAAATGTCAGTTTAGCATGAATGATAATTTGCTCTTTGACCAATCACAGCTGTTGCCAAGAGGAGCGCTACATTACAAAACACACAAGTGCATCTTTTGAGTCTCCTACTGCTATATACAGTCATAGGCCCTTGTGACTTCCACAAATCATACCAAATCCACACACCATGAACCATTTCTTATTGGGTCAAAGAAGGAGTTTCTCCTGCCTTATCTCCGTTATATGCATGACATGATATACAGTGATGTGATACAAGTCTGACAAGGATACAGACTTATATGACGTTTATGTTATGATAAAGGCACTGTGATGCTGGTATCATTTTGTCTGCCTAATCTTGAGGATGATTTAAAAACTGATGCTCCCCACACACACACACACACACACACACACACACACACACACACACACACACACACACACACACACACACACACACACACACACACAAAACACACACGTAATTTATATTTTCAGTAAATTATATCCAATATAATTTACTTGGGTTCAATAAACAGAATTTATTCATGGTAGTACAGTTTTATCGTTTGGTCTATTAAAACTTACTGAGGTAAAATCCACACTTGCAGATGATTTGGAGTCTTCATTTCACATCACAATTTTGGGAGGAACTGTCATGTGTGTCTGTCTGGTTGGTTTTCAGCCCCAGTTGGAGTGAAGGGCGTTTCCTTCCAACAGGCACACCTGTTCCGCGTTTACCAAGTAGGCCTGCCATGTATTTAAGGGCTGCCAAACTGCATAGTCTCTTGTCGGATTATTTACCTTGCTCACTGCTGTGCTTCAAGAGTTGTATGCTAGACCTCTCAATATCTTTCATCGTCACTCTTGTTTTGTCATATTTTCATTATTTATTTTTTTCAATCTTTCGTTTGTGTATTCTCGGTGTTCTCTTGTACCTTGCCTTTGCAAGCGCTTTTTGTTTTAGGCATTGTTTTTTCCTGGCACCTTGTGCCCAGTGATTTCAGTTTGGACTTTGTTGATGCACTTTTCTGTACAAAATATTTTTATTTTTATATTCATTCATTCATTCATTTTCCGATCCGCTTATCCTCACAAGGGTGGCGGGGGGTGCTGGAGCCTATCCCAGCTGTCTTCGGGCAGTAGGCAGGGGACTCCCTGAACTGGTTGCCAGCCAATCGCAGGGCGCACAGAGAGACGAACAACCATCCACGCTCACACGCACACCTAGGGACAATTTAGTGTGTTCAATCAGTCTGCCATGCATGTTTTTGAAATGTGGGAAGAAACCGGAGTCCCCGGAGAAAAATCACGCAGGCCTGGGAAGAACATGCAAACTCCACACAGGGAGGCCGGAGCTGGAATTGAACCCGGTACCTCTGGACTGTGAGGGCAACGCGCTAACTACTGGATCACCGGGCCGCCCTTTGTTTTTATAAAACAATTCAAATTTAAATTGCAATTTTCCTTGCTCTTTGCTAACTGAATTGGCATTTAGGGATCATCCTCAATTCAATTCTGCACTTTGTACAGCCCTGATGTCAAATCTTACCCATGAGTTCAAGGAATAACCCAGAAGAGAAATACACATCGCTTGAAACTAAATTCTGCAGTGACCATCCTCAAAGTAGAACTTCCTATATGTTGTGGATGTGCTGGAAAACTGACTTTGCGTGAAAGTTAAAATGACCCCTGGCCTGGTTGCAAATCAATTAAAGGAAACATATAGAGACAAATAATTGTTCATTATTACATTCACATTGTCACTGAGTATTAGAACTGATCCTGTGGTGTCTGAAGGCAAGTCAAGCCAGTGAACCACTACAACATCAGCAACTACTACATGTATTCAGTAAAAAGAGAGAAAATACTATTACTAACTACAGATTGTTGATTGGGGAAAGAGCTTCAACACTAGCCTGGCTTTATACAACAGGTCAAAAAGACATTTTTTTGTGTGCATCTCTTTTGAAAAAAAAAAAAAGTGTATATATATATATATATATATATATATAAACTTGTCTTTTTTCCCTTAAAGCATGATAAACACCCCAACTTCAAATTCTTTTCACCAACACCAAAGAACAAATTCGTACCCTTTAATGTAGCAAATGAAAGTCTTAACTTAAACACTGTCACCGGTTCAAATAGGCTAGTCATTTTTCAAATAAGACTCGCAAATCTGAAATATTATTGCTAGCTTCTGTTATTTTCTAGGGTTTTTTTTTTTTTTTTTGACAGCAAAAAAAAAATATATATATATCCTGGACAATGCTCCAAATAGATAAACTCACTATCAGTACTATACTTGGCTGTGACATACCTGTACATGCCTACAAAAAACATTTAACATGCATGCGTATGTTTTCATTGAAAAGTGTTTCCATCGAGTTGGAAACAAAAATGTTTAGTGTGCTAAGTATTTTCCAATGGTTTGCATTTTTAAGCTTCAAAAGGAACATCCATCCAATTATTTTCTGAATCGCAGGTGTGCTGGAGCCGTACAATTTAGAAATTGGTGAAAACAAATGACTTGAATGATCAATTTTAATGCATTTTCGGCCCCTCGGAGTAGTAATATGAAAAGAGTAAAGTAAATAAGAAAAGTTTCTTTCGAGTGCATTTCAAGGTTGCACACATCTGGCTATTCCACTGTGTGATGAAGTATCTCTGACAGCGAGACAGTGGCTGCCTCTCTCTTTACCGGGCCATTGATGCTGAGTGACTGCTCTGCTGCAGGTATTTCTGGACATAAACACAGGTAGAGTCATCACGCACAACTGGTCAGACAATTTTTGAGAGATATGGAACAAACGACATGACATCCACACAACA